CGGCGGGGAAGGTTGGCACGTTTTCCTCGCTTGGAGCCGCCACGTGGCTTGGAAGCAGTCAATTGATCAAGGAAGTGTTGAGTTATCAATGTTGCGACTTCCAGATCGTCGTCGTCAGCAGCATTTGCCGTCCAATCTTCCCAGAAGTCACTCATGCTGCCTTGCGTTCTCACAGCCAAGCAAATAGCGTACACGCTAGATGACACGCTAAATATAGCGTGCCAAGTGTCATCTAGCGTGTCAAGTGTGCCAATAGCGTCACCGGTGGGAAATACAAAACGCTAAATTTGTGAAATTTAGCGTGATAGCGTATCCGGTGGGGATGCTCTTACTTGTCGTCAGAGATGACAAAGGCTAAATATCCAAGGCTGCAAAATTGGGAAAAATAGTGATTTGATTTTCTCTGACAAAATGTTTCCCTAGCCGGGACTCGAACCCGGGTCACCTCGGTGAAAACGAGATATCCTAACCGCCTAGAAATACATCAATTTACCGGATAGTACGCAAGCGCATACATTCTGGGAACAATGTCGGTCACCTCCAGCAACACCTTGCAAGCCTCTCAAGCCATCGCCAGCGCCTCCAACGAGCCACCTGTAGGCTCTGCGGAAGCTCTTCCGACTGGATCCAACGGCTCTGAGCCGAACGCAACCTCTCCGCCTTTCGCGGCTTCCCGCCGTCGCCTGGACGAAGCTAGCAGCCAGCCAGCCGATCAAGACGACGCGACCGCCGTGCCAAGCGAAACCAGTCCAACAAGCAATGTTTGGGAGTTCCAACGTGAGAAACGTCGCCAGCAAGACGCCAAGTCTCGCCACGATGTCGGTTTCCAACGACCTACCATGGATCAGCTGCGTCCCTTTGTGGACCTTCTGGCCACCAATGCTGCCACCGGAAGCGCCTTGTTCGACGCATACGAGACCTTCCGTCAAGACTCCAATCGACCCGTCGTGGGCTACGTCAAGATCGCGATGGGAGCGCACACCCTCTCCATGGACAAGGCAAGGCGCTCAAAGCCATGCTTTTTGACAACCATGACACTGAACCTCTCCCAGGATTGGCTGATATTGTCCAGGTCTGTAAAGATCTGGCCAATCAGCAACTAATCTTGGGCGTCGCCTCGTACGAGGCCATCGACCAGCTCTCGGGGATGACCTTCAAGCTGCCTGTCAAAGACGGCGTGAAGCCATTCGGAACTGGAGCTCTCCATCCCATGGATGGCTTCTACATTGATATCCTCGACTTCGAAAGCAATCGCACAGCCGAGCGCTACCTGTGGACCATCCTAGCAGCCATGGGTGCACCGCCACTAGCTGGCGGATACACCCAAGTCTCGGCCTCTTACGGCGCCAAAAACTCTCGGCTTCGCATCCATTTCCTCCGTGATGATGCGCCGCCGCTCTTCCGCTCCAACGGAAGACTCATCGACGAGATGATCTTCCTTGGCAAGTGTTACCGACTCTTTGGAAAGGGCTGGTACAACCACAAGAAATCCCTCCAGCGCAACGACCTTGACATCGCTGCCAAGGAGAAGAAAGTCGTCTCCCCGTTCGCAACAGCCTCCGGTGCCTCTGGACAAGCCACACGTCCAACCGGCGAAGCCAAACGCCAGCGCGCGGAACCACAGCCGAGCAACCCCTGGCGCATTGTCCAACGAGGAGCTTCCGCCAGCGAACCACCAACACCACGACCTCTGGTGTCGGAGAACGTGTTCGATGTTCTCCGCCAACACGTTGTGGTTACTCCCATGCAAATCTCTAACACGACTGGTGATTCGTGTGTCACTGTGCCCCAAATTCTGGACACACCCGATCTACCACTCCATCTCCCAACCGACGCATATGTCGGGGGAACAAAGATACATCGCGCCAAGGCAGTGCGCGTCGAAGCCGCTTGAGGCCATCCTCGACGAATTTGCCATACTCGATCGCGACGCCAAAGAGATGCAGCAATCCTTTGACAAGATATGCGAGATCACCAAGGCAAACTCAAAGCTGGATCTACCCAAGTATATCGCCCATGGTGAAGCGGACTGGATCCAGTTTGAGCTGGAAAACAATCCGATCGAATTCGGCCGCCAACTACATGAGCTCGCTCGCTCGCAGCCGGCACTCCTGCACAGCTTCATCCTCATCCGCATGCTCAACCGATGGATGCGAGCAACATGGGGAGCTTCTACACCATTCTTCCAACTATACCAAAACGTCTTTGGACACAAATTTTCACTTGAACATCTACATGCTGACTTCCACACTGTCAGCAGCGCCGCAAACTTGGATGACATCACTCTCCCGTGCGAGGATGATGAAACACTCCTCCTGGCCCAAGATATGGAAGCAGTCGTTGCCCTAGGCTAGGCGAGGTTGTCCTCGCCACCAGCGCCCCTCTGTACTACACCAGTGACGCAGCTATCAGCATCACCACCGCCCAACCAACCTTTGGACTCCCTGCACGCGGAGGACAAAGGAGCCTAGCAACTACTACAATGACTCGTATCCTGTTGAGCTCATCACTGAGTACTACAATCCAATCGACACTCAAAACACTCCTTCAAACGGCAGCAAAAACGGTCAATGAATCTCGACAACGTGACCAACCCACGGACTCGCCCATGCAAGACGAAAACCCAAGCGACGTCTTCATGGCCTGGATCCGAGACCTTCAAACAATGTCACTCCTGGACGAACATGGCCAACTCGAAGCATATGAACACGAGCAAATCGCTCTACATCCAAAAGATCGATTGCTCCATGTTGTAAACATCACTGAGGCATGGCCCGGAGATGAAGCCACACCTAGCGGCTAAAGTTGCTACCATCAACAGACTTGGTGGTGCGTCCAGCGTGACCATTACCACGTGCAACCTGAACGGTTTCAAAGACCGCGACGACACTCCAGCCATCACACTCGGTAGACACCTCCCACAATGTGTCTTCTTCCAAGAAACAAAACTCCAGAACCGCGACCACTTCCGCACCATACGACGCCACCTTACCAACAACGTTGGATACAAAAAATACCAATTCTTCATCAACGACCATCGGTCGTCCGCCAACGGCCCACTCCAACACCGCAGTAAAGGAGTGGCTTCGTTCTTCCACGAAAACATGCCTGGCTTCAGCAACCTGAAGCCACTGTACAATCTGCGCATACCAGATCGGTATCTGGTGGTCCACACGACCTGGGGCTCTACTTCCGTATATTTCCATAACGTTTACGCGCCGGTCGAGGACGACCAACGTGCCTCCTTCTCATTATCAGTCACCAGAATACGACGACATAGTCGGACTGGTTATCCTTTCAGTCCCAGACATGGGTAATTTGTTCAAAATTGAATTGAAAACGAAGATGTTTGATTTACAATCGAGAAGTTCTGTCTGTTTTCATTCTTGAGAACCAAAACTCACGTTACAGAAGTACAGTTGGAGGACATGAATCCGATTCCCCTCTAAATAGAGAACAAATATACTTACTTGACAAATAAACATAAGTTTTTGTTGGATCTCTTTGATCCACGCGCTATCTTGTTGAATTGTGTCTTACTGTGCCATCGTGGATGGTTTTACGAAACAGTAAAGATTGCAATGTATGTGGAGGTTTTGGAACGTTGTATAGTGAAAGCACGATCTGTCTTTTCACTTGACAAATAGACCTGTCGTGCTCCACATATACATGCCACAGTACACATTATTTGACTCGTTTTCTTCGGGGGAGATTCAAATCCAAACCTGTTTGTCTGGCGTAGATATTCGTAAAGCTATGTTAAGACCTCGAACGTTTGACCTAAACACTGAGGTGGATGTTCGTTGTGTTTCTCATAAGACTTGATCTATTTGTTCTGGTTTTGTCAGACAAACGAGAATTCTTGGGACAAATCCCTTGCGAAGAAATAAAATATACAAACTTGGTGCATGCGATATAGTAGGTATATGCCGTAGAAGGTAAATTGGAGTGATAAAAAGATGGCCTCTGCCGATGATCGAAATTGGGACCTCCTGCACCCTGAGCAGGAATCATTCGCATGAAGCCTATCGAATATGTTCAACTTGGGGTAGTCTCAATGTTGGTCGGTCTCATTTGTCTGTATAACGTACTGAAGCCATCTCAATAATTTGTGCAGGCATCTATCTATGGTTTTTGTGCGACAGTTTAGCCTTGTACAACGGATTCAAATCCCTGTACCCAGATATGTGGGTAGCACGATATGTGGGTAGCACGATGTGTGGTATTTGTCATGTCAGAGACAATTGAACTTTTCATAATTCTAAGCAGAGTCTCCTGAATACACCCAGATAAAATGCCATGATCTACATTGATGCTTGTGGAAAAGTTTACACAAGTAAATGTGTTCAATAGTGCACAAAGACAATACTTATCCTTCGACGACTAGGAGTTGTAATATTGGAATGATGTTAATGAAACAAGCTAAGACAAGGGTAATTTCTGAGAACTTTGTGGCAGATACAGCAAACTAACTATATCTACCATCACATCGAGCGAAAACTTTTCCTTAAGAAACGGTACAACAGGGTCAAATATCGTATTTAGGTTGTATGCTTTCAGTTGGGGATCAATGAATACATGATATGCCAAACAATTTGCAAGCGATGAGGGATTTTTTTGCTATGTCGACGAGAATGAAATCCGCACGGACAATCCGCACGGACAACATCAAAGTATAATCTAGAGCGCAAAAATGCATGCATATTCTACAAGTTTTGCAAACCATCCATACTTACTTCAATAACTGAATAATTTATTGTTTATTATGGATTCTATCGAACAACATTGCCATTGATTCCACCAAGTTTTGCTCAACACATTGACTTCTTCCTAAAGCTAGCTTGTCAAATACACCATTTTCATAAAATACTGCATTGAAACCTCTGAATAACTTCTATCGAGAACCATTTTATAACATGTTGGATGTGGTGAACATGGATGGTGGTGGATACTTCAGCAATTGAGGTAGGTTTGACAGAACTGCAGAAACGAAAAAAGATGGCCTCTGCCGATGATCGAAATCGGGACCTCCTGCACCCTAAGCAGGAATCATACCACTAGACCACAGAGGCACTCATACTTCTACAAATCTGATGACATACATTCTCCATGCAATAGCAACACATTTGCCTCGACTTTCAATCTCTAAAGACACATCATGCATCGTACTCTAAACTTTACCAACTTCTAAAAAGACGCATTCTCCTCCAAAACACGATACATCATTTTCACACAATAACATATTATACTCATCGCAGCATATATTGCGCTTTTCGGTGGCATAATCAGAGATGAGATTTTACACGTCGGCGCATCGACTGACAACCTACCGAGAATACCATCCTCACAGCTCAGACCAGAATGTCTACTTGGGTCCTCTCGGACTATTCCTCAATGCAATAGGGTCAAAAATAGTTGCATAGATATTACTCTCCATGTACCAATTGCCCACGGACGTGGAACAAAGTGCAATGAAAACCGACGTCGAACTGCAATTTTACAGATTTTGTAGGCACCTGATGAAAAGGCCAAGATAAGCTCAACCAGAAAAAGATAGATTAAATATTTTTTTAATGTTTTTGACACGCACGTGATCTTGAATTGTGAGGAAATCAGATCAGTCACCAGAATACGACGACATAGTCGGACTGGTTATCCTTTCAGTCCCAGACATGGGTAATTTGTTCAAAATTGAATTGAAAACGAAGATGTTTGATTTACAATCGAGAAGTTCTGTCTGTTTTCATTCTTGAGAACCAAAACTCACGTTACAGAAGTACAGTTGGAGGACATGAATCCGATTCCCCTCTAAATAGAGAACAAATATACTTACTTGACAAATAAACATAAGTTTTTGTTGGATCTCTTTGGTCCACGCGCTATCTTGTTGAATTGTGTCTTACTGTGCCATCGTGGATGGTTTTACGAAACAGTAAAGATTGCAATGTATGTGGAGGTTTTGGAACGTTGTATAGTGAAAGCACGATCTGTCTTTTCACTTGACAAATAGACCTGTCGTGCTCCACATATGCATGCCACAGTACACATTATTTGACTCGTTTTCTTCGGGGGAGATTCAAATCCAAACCTGTTTGTCTGGCGTAGATATTCGTAAAGCTATGTTAAGACCTCGAACGTTTGACCTAAACACTGAGGTGGATGTTCGTTGTGTTTCTCATAAGACTTGATCTATTTGTTCTGGTTTTGTCAGACAAACGAGAATTCTTGGGACAAATCCCTTGCGAAGAAATAAAATATACAAACTTGGTGCATGCGATATAGTAGGTATATGCCGTAGAAGGTAAATTGGAGTGATAAAAAGATGGCCTCTGCCGATGATCGAAATTGGGACCTCCTGCACCCTAAGCAGGAATCATACCACTAGACCACAGAGGCTTTGTTGACAAAACTGTAGGTATCTGCCATTCAATCCCCAGATTTCCTGACGATACTGCTTCCAATTTCTCGTCGTTTGCACAAATTTATTCGATACCGTTGCATCCTGTCCGTGCATGATCGCCATGTCGTCATTTATCCTCTATTAAGAATGTATGGACAAGAATGTCGACGACTCTGGGTGATAGTTCGCGCTCAAGATGGTGGAGCACGCCAAATCTAACCATTGTGAATGAATGCCATGTGACATTAAAATATGTCCACTAAAGATGTCAACAAAGCCTCTGTGGTCTAGTGGTATGATTCCTGCTTAGGGTGCAGGAGGTTCCGATTTCGATCATCGGCAGAGGCCACCTTTTTCTCTCGACCATGTCACAAACTCCTATATGAAATCACACATTTCATCCATGTCTTGTGTAACAATCGTGTTTTTCTTGTAGTTGGCTCAAATGCATGTGTAGGGTGTCAAGACTTGATTTTGACTATACTTTCCACGTGCTGCTGAGGGAAATCATCATGGCGACGCCTTATCGCTCACCTTAAGCTCAGACGGACCTACGCCCCAGGGGTACATTACTTCGCTGTGCATTGCGATTTCAGTTCATCAATTGATTTTCTTCCGACTGAACAAAACAACAATGGAAGAAATTGTCCGCCCCCCAACAGTCAACTCGTACCACTTATATGGTATGGCATGTCACCACACCAATCTCTGACAACACTAACAAATCATAAACACTACTAAAATACCGAGCGTATTTAGACAGTTGAGTCGTAGTTCACTCGATAAACAACTCTAAATGGATATCATCTCTTTGCACATTCCAACCAAGAAACATCAAAACAAAACAATCTAATAATTACTTTTCTATGGTATGAATTGAGTCGTCTTTCAACATAACGTATAGTTTGTCGGGGAATGTCATTGATATATTCCTGCTAACCTGCGGTGTCATTTCCTCGTGAAAAGATCGCTAATCCGCGTACTCGACAAAGTACTTAGTTACTGTGGCAATATCATTCGCATGAAGCCTATCGAATATGTTCAACTTGGGGTAGTCTCAATGTTGGTCGGTCTCATTTGTCTGTATAACGTACTGAAGCCATCTCAATAATTTGTGCAGGCATCTATCTATGGTTTTTGTGCGACAGTTTAGCCTTATACAACGGATTCAAATCCCTGTACCCAGATATGTGGGTAGCACGATATGTGGGTAGCACGATGTGTGGTATTTGTCATGTCAGAGACAATTGAACTTTTCATAATTCTAAGCAGAGTCTCCTGAATACACCCAGATAAAATGCCATGATCTACATTGATGCTTGTGGAAAAGTTTACACAAGTAAATGTGTTCAATAGTGCACAAAGACAATACTTATCCTTCGACGACTAGGAGCTGTAATATTGGAATGATGTTAATGAAACAAGCTAAGACAAGGGTAATTTCTGAGAACTTTGTGGCAGATACAGCAAACTAACTATATCTACCATCACATCGAGCGAAAACTTTTCCTTAAGAAACGGTACAACAGGGTCAAATATCGTATTTAGGTTGTATGCTTTCAGTTGGGGATCAATGAATACATGATATGCCAAACAATTTGCAAGCGATGAGGGATTTTTTTGCTATGTCGACGAGAATGAAATCCGCACGGACAATCCGCACGGACAACATCAAAGTATAATCTAGAGCGCAAAAATGCATGCATATTCTACAAGTTTTGCAAACCATCCATACTTACTTCAATAACTGAATAACTTATTGTTTATTATGGATTCTATCGAACAACATTGCCATTGATTCCACCAAGTTTTGCTCAACACATTGACTTCTTCCTAAAGCTTGCTTGTCAAATACACCATTTTCATAAAATACTGCATTGAAACCTCTGAATAACTTCTATCGAGAACCATTTTATAACATGTGGGATGTGGTGAACATGGATGGTGGTGGATACTTCAGCAATTGAGGTAGGTTTGACAGAACTGCAGAAACGAAAAAAGATGGCCTCTGCCGATGATCGAAATCGGGACCTCCTGCACCCTAAGCAGGAATCATACCACTAGACCACAGAGGCACTCATACTTCTACAAATCTGATGACATACATTCTCCATGCAATAGCAACACATTTGCCTCGACTTTCAATCTCTAAAGACACATCATGCATCGTACTCTAAACTTTACCAACTTCTAAAAAGACGCATTCTCCTCCAAAACACGATACATCATTTTCACACAATAACATATTATACTCATCGCAGCATATATTGCGCTTTTCGGTGGCATAATCAGAGATGAGATTTTACACGTCGGCGCATCGACTGACAACCTACCGAGAATACCATCCTCACAGCTCAGACCAGAATGTCTACTTGGGTCCTCTCGGACTATTCCTCAATGCAATAGGGTCAAAAATAGTTGCATAGATATTACTCTCCATGTACCAATTGCCCACGGACGTGGAACAAAGTGCAATGAAAACCGACGTCGAACTGCAATTTTACAGATTTTGTAGGCACGTGATGAAAAGGCCAAGATAAGCTCAACCAGAAAAAGATAGATTAAATATTTTTTTAATGTTTTTGACACGCACGTGATCTTGAATTGTGAGGAAATCAGATCAGTCACCAGAATACGACGACATAGTCGGACTGGTTATCCTTTCAGTCCCAGACATGGGTAATTTGTTCAAAATTGAATTGAAAACGAAGATGTTTGATTTACAATCGAGAAGTTCTGTCTGTTTTCATTCTTGAGAACCAAAACTCACGTTACAGAAGTACAGTTGGAGGACATGAATCCGATTCCCCTCTAAATAGAGAACAAATATACTTACTTGACAAATAAACATAAGTTTTTGTTGGATCTCTTTGGTCCACGCGCTATCTTGTTGAATTGTGTCTTACTGTGCCATCGTGGATGGTTTTACGAAACAGTAAAGATTGCAATGTATGTGGAGGTTTTGGAACGTTGTATAGTGAAAGCACGATCTGTCTTTTCACTTGACAAATAGACCTGTCGTGCTCCACATATGCATGCCACAGTACACATTATTTGACTCGTTTTCTTCGGGGGAGATTCAAATCCAAACCTGTTTGTCTGGCGTAGATATTCGTAAAGCTATGTTAAGACCTCGAACGTTTGACCTAAACACTGAGGTGGATGTTCGTTGTGTTTCTCATAAGACTTGATCTATTTGTTCTGGTTTTGTCAGACAAACGAGAATTCTAGAGACAAATCCCTTGCGAAGAAATAAAATATACAAACTTGGTGCATGCGATATAGTAGGTATATGCCGTAGAAGGTAAATTGGAGTGATAAAAAGATGGCCTCTGCCGATGATCGAAATTGGGACCTCCTGCACCCTAAGCAGGAATCATACCACTAGACCACAGAGGCTTTGTTGACAAAACTGTAGGTATCTGCCATTCAATCCCCAGATTTCCTGACGATACTGCTTCCAATTTCTCTGTCGTTTGCACAAATTTATTCGATACCGTTGCATCCTGTCCGTGCATGATCGCCATGTCGTCATTTATCCTCTATTAAGAATGTATGGACAAGAATGTCGACGACTCTGGGTGATAGTTCGCGCTCAAGATGGTGGAGCACGCCAAATCTAACCATTGTGAATGAATGCCATGTGACATAAAAATATGTCCACTAAAGATG